CCCCCACCACCTCCCCTGCCACCACACCACCTCCCCACCCCTCCTCTGCCACCACACCCCCACACCTCCCCCGCCACCACACACCCTGGCCCACTCCACTGCCACCCCTGTCCTCTGGCCACCTTGACATCATCAATTCCCCACCACCTCCCCTGCCACCATCACAAATCACACCTCTCCTTGCCACCATCACTTTACCACCTCCTCTGCTACCATCACTTCACTTTTTTGACGTGGCCCAGCCTCTAGCCACACCTTCGCCACCATTTATTTGGCCTTATTAAATATCCTACACACTTACCCCTCTACCACCTCCCCTGCCACCTCCCGTGGCACCATCACCCCCACCACCTCCCTTCACCATCACCCTCACCACTCCCCTGCCACCATCACTTCACCCCCACCACCTCCCCTGCCACCACACCCTCCACTCACCCCCTGCCACCATCACCTCCTTCTACCCCCACTGCTACCATCACTTCACTCCCCACCACATCCCCTCCACTCCACTGCCACCATGACCTCCCACCACCTCCCCTTGCTTCCTCCCCTGGTGCACCATCACCCCACCACCTCCCTGCCACCATCACCCCCACCACCCCCCCCTGCCACCACACCCTCTCACACCTCCCCCTGCCACCATCACCCCACCACCTCCCCTGCACCATCACCCCTACCACCCCCACACATCACCCCCCACTACCTCCACTGCCACCATCACCCCCACTACCTCCACTGCCACCATCACCCTTTCCACCTCCCATGTCACCATCACCCCCACCACCTCATGCCATTACCCCTCACTACCTCCACTGCTACCATCACCCTCACTACCTCCCCTGCACCATCACCCCCACCTCCCCTGCCACCATTACCCTCTACTACCTCCACTGCCACCATCACCCCTAACCACCTCCAATGACACCATCACCCTCTACTACCTCCACTGCCACCATCACCCCTTTCCACCTCCCATGTCACCATTACCCTCTACTACCTCCACTGCTACCATCACCCCTTATCACCTCCCCTGGTACCATCACCCTCTACCACCTCCCTTGCCACCATCACCCCCTACCACCTCCCTTGCCACCATCACCCTTTCTACCTCCCCTACCACCTCTGAAGCCTCAGGTACACACGACCGCTGCTGTACCAGTAAGAACCAGTTACAGAACTATTTGTAGTCAAACGATCGTCACAGGAGGAAAATGGTGGGCTAATGATTGCCTGACGTAGCAACCATGAAAATATTGTGGAGGGGGCAAAGATGAGTGTCAGGTGCCCTTGAATAATTGTGCTGGCGTTGTTATGGTTATGTCCGTGTCCGAGGGTGTACCAAGTTGAAGGTGCCAAACTGCCTGTCGCTGAGCCCATCCGAGGTCTTTTTTACGTAACCTACAGGCTTTTAAGGCAGGTTTCACGACTTGGATTCTCGTTGTTATTTTTTCATGTAACTGATGATAAGAAAACAAACTAATTGACTATATTATAACTTACGGCTAAGAAAGTACTGACAAAATGGATTTAAAATGACACTGAATCTTTACCTGTAACTTGATGTATCCTCTTTATTTATTAAGGAAAGATAATTGGTGCGTTCAACTCGGAGAAATTCCGGATAGGGCCTGGTAAAATAGTTTTTGGTGTAGAAGATAAAGTGAACCTCTCGTGCTGTCGTGGCATACATTAACACTCTTGACTCGACAGATGATTAAGATTATTTAAGAATGTGTTTTTTTCTGACTCTGTAATTATCTTGATCCATTAAGTCAATGTGTGTGTGTTTGTCTGTCTCTCCCATTCTCTTTCTTTCCATTTATTTTTTTTAGATTAAAATATGATTATAATATATCCTATAAAAATGTCTTACCGAAGTATATTATTCCTCCTCTACCTTTTAGATAACCTTCTGTCTTGCCCTTCTTCCATTTTTTCTTTTATTTTCCTCGCTAAAACACATCAACCTAACCTAACTTAACTCAAACGATAAATCATTTTTCACAGGTTCATGACGTCTTCCCCGGCCAGATGACCTCTCTTCCCTGGGTCCTACGTTGACGACACATTCTCCTGTGGGGGTAATGTTCCTTGTTATTTCACCCCCCACCCTCCCCCCTCCCCCTTTTTTTTTGCTCGTATAGATAGAAGGAATCACATTTCCTTTGTAAGAAATAATCGACGAAGTCAATTTCCCACTGGACAAAAGAGTGTTCTCATCAGGGTAGAAAAATTCCCACTAATTTTAGTAACAAGGCATTGGGCAGAATCACACAAATTCCAGAGTGTGTGTGTGTGTGTGTGTGTAGAAATGTTTTCTTATAGTCTTTCTGCAGGACTAGTTTGCGATCTTGAAGAAAACACTTCACGCAAATTAATGGTACTAGCTGCTCTTGTTGTGGAAGAAGCATTTAAATGTTCATCTTCGGCATTTCTTATGAGACACTAGTAATTGCCCTTTAAGTTAATAAGCGCCCTGGTATTTTATTAATAATTCTTATAAAATAAATGGTTACCTGAGACGTGTTTATTCATATATATAAAATATGTGTGTATGTGTGAAGAATCACGTCTCAGGCTCCATTCTCAGTCCAGTACTGTTCTTGGTGTACATAGAACTTATTTGCAGACGATAGTAATCTCTATGCCAGCAACTCAGATCTCCATTCCTTGATTTGAACTATGAACACTGAATTGACTAAAGTCAGGATCTGGGTAATACGTAATAAACTGACCTTTAACGTCGAAAAAACCCACTACACAATTTTTCACAGAAGGAAAAACTTACCTCCAGATTTGGACCCCCTGTACCTTGGTAATACAGACCTCAAACGTGAACAAAATATTAAATTCCTTGGGGTTATTGTTGATGAGAAACTTAGTTGGAGAAACCACATGCAAGGCATTCACAGTAAAGTCAATAAACTGTGCTATCCTGTATCACACTCGACACTCATTCTTGCAGCAATGAAAGAAATCTATTATGATCGTGTTTACCAACACTTGATACACTGTCACACAGAAGAGAGTTGTGTTGACAATGACCAATTTGAAAAACAAATGATCACACTAATGAACAATTTGCTAAAATGATAATGTTAAAATTCGAGGATATTAACACCTACTGCTGTGCCCTGTTTGTTTACAAATCTGTCAATCACTTGATTGACAATAATTATTTCTAGTTCTTGAATAATCATAGATACAACTTAAGACACCCATAGCAACTAAGGTCACCCCCCCATTGTGCTTCTCTCAGTCCCAGACCTCCATAAAATATCACTGTGTGAAGGTGTGGAACAGCTTACACCCACTCATCCGATCAAAGACTACACTCCATTCCTTTAAATCATCTCTAAAAAAATATCTGTTGTCTAAGTATTAATATTTTTGTAATATCTACTTTATATTCCTACTTTTAGTGTACCAGCAAAACCATTATATCATAAATTGTCATGTAGATAGATAGAAAGTACTATTGCAATAATTGTCTTTGCCGACAAGACATGATACTGGCAGCTTCTGTCCTCTTGTTTCACTTTAATACAACACATGTTCAAATTCAATTTCAAAACATTTATTGACATACAACCCATGTTGTATTGCCTCTCTCCCTTGTCATATTAGCGCATATCAACTCCTCTGTAAAATATGTAAGAACTAGAAGTACTTATAATCTAAATGTTACATAATACTTCCTTGAGATAAATGTACAGTATATATCACGCCCCTTCAAGAGCTCACGCTCTCAACCGGCTCAACCTTGTCAATATTCTTATTATTATCGACTCTGTATTTATATTTTTCTGGCTAAATAAACTGTTTCAATATTAATATCAATTATAAAATACCAGAGCGGTTATTAACTTAAAGGGCAATTGTTAATAGGTTAGCTTAGAAATTAATCCCACACAGTGATACAATTACCTCCTTTAAGAACATAAGAATATAAGAATGGAGGTAACTGCAGCTGGCATATTGGCCCATACTGGGCAATCCCATTTACACCCAACCCCTATCTCGCATATATACAGTACATCCAACCTATGTTTGAAGCTATCCAGCGTATTCGAGTTAATGATGATGTTTGGTAACTTTTTCCATTCATCCACTACTCTATTTCCAAACCAATGTTTACCTATTTCGCGCCTAAATCTAAATTTGTCTAATTTAAAACCATTGTTACGAGTTGTCTCCTGGTTGGATAGTTTGAGTACCTTTGTAATGTCACCTTTGTTTAGCCCTGACTTCCATTTATACACCTCTATCATATCGCCCCTCACTCTACGTCTCTCAAGGGAGTGCAAATTAAGAAGGTTCCAAATGTCCTGGAATAGTCTTGATATTCTCCTCTGAATTCTTTCTAGGGATTCGATATCCATTCTGCAATACGGTGACCAGAAATGAATTGCGTAATCCAAGTGAGGTCTCACAAGCGCAAGATATAGTTTTAGGTTGACCTTGTTAGTCTTGTAACTAACACTCCTTTGCATGAACCCAAGTATTTTATTAGCCTTGTTTCGAGCAAATACACATTGTTCACTTGTCTTAAGATTCCTACTAAATCTTTCTCACAGTCGGATTTCTCTATAACATCGTTGTTCATCTGGTATCTGGTTTCTCTGTTTACATCTCCTAGACTAAGTACTTTGCATTTGTCCACATTGAATTTCATCTGCCATTTTTCAGACCATTCGAAAAATTTGTTTAGATCTTCTTGTAGTTTTGCGGAGTCCTCGTCAGATTTAATTACACGCCCTATTTTAGTGTCAACAGCAAATTTACTTATGTTGCTGTCTACACCGATATCTATGTCGTTTATGTATATTATAAATAATAATGGTCCAAGTAGTGAGCCTTGGAGTACTCCACTAGTGACGTTACTCCAATCGGATTTAGTGCCGTTAATGCTCACTCGCTGTTTCCTGCCCTGTGTGAAAAAGTTGCTGGACGTCTGAAAGAGAAGGAAGGTAGGAAAGAATGATGGAAACACTGGAAACTATCTTTCATATAGAAAAAAATCTCTTGTTTATTCAGCTCATACACCCGATCATGGTTGTACATACAGTACATAAAGAAGCTAATAAAAAGATCATGTTGTGTTGGCTCATATCCTAATTTAGTATTTATTTTGTATTTTGTTTCAAGTACAGTAATATTCCCAGAGAGGCACAATGCCCTAAGTACTTATTCTAAAACAACTATTATACTCGCAATAGGTTATTTCTTAAACATTATTTATTTAAATATTTTTTGTTACTCATTAAGTTTTAACTCCCAGAAGATGTTTAGATGTTTATGATCACTTTAACACTAATAATTTTCTCTAAAATATTTTTTTCCCTGCAAATTATTGTCATACAAACATGAAAAGTGGCAATACACACCATGTTGTTAAAAACTCATACGGAAATTAGCTGCTAACAGCTTTTGGGTGGCTGTCCTCGGTTAAATGGACACACTATTTATTATTGTTTATATATCTGTACGATTTATGTACATAATGAACCAATGACAATTTGCGTGATGATTTTACTAAATAAATAACTATCTTGTTCAGGCTAACATTATACTACACAGTTGAATAACTTTAACTTGTCTGTATAACCATCAGTTCCTTAGTCTGTTATCGTTTCTAATTTATCTTGTTATGGCATAATATGATCTCCTGTTTCTTGAGATTGGTCCCACAAGTGTTCGTCTATAATTTAGACTCTAAATGTTTGTTTCTTGCATTAATAAAAATGATAGACACCACACTACTAGTAACCTATAGCAACATTTGGAGTTTGTTATACCACTACGTAATTATTAAGTTGAATTTACTTATTATATTTAAAGTATATGTAAGTTTACCAAATGAAGTTTACTGGAAACCACACAAAGACCTCAACATACTCTAGGTTTTTACAAATGTTACCCTTGAAATTTTCTTTTCTTTGGGGACAATTTTCTTTATGTTTAAAAAGCATAACTTTTGTAAAATAATTGGTCCTTATTCTTCTCTTCATATGTACTAGCGAGAAAAACAAAGGATCTACAATAAACATAAGACGTTATCTACAACCAACTGGAAAATATACTTATACAAAATAAAAAGTAGAATCACTTTCATATTATTTTGATCCACATTCACACACATAATATAAATGATCGAGTAGCACTGGCTCCACCTCATTCCAAATAACACCTAACTAATACTTGTTAAATAGTTGTCCATCTATAAGATGGTCTAAGCTCTAGAAAATTTTACCCAAAAAAGTCATTCGTGAAATTTTTTAGTCAAAACCTACCAATAAATGACCCAATTATTTCCAATAAGGCAAATCAGTTACAATGACCCTACCTCTAAATATCGTTATACCCCAGACACGCCAGTTTCTGTGCTGGGTTGTGTGATCATAAGTTACACTATCACCAATATTCTCTAGATAAGAGTCCTCCTCAGTATTTCCATCCCTCCTCTTTTATCCACTGTTGCAACTGCTTGATCTCCTCCTTAGCTTCGAGGCCCAGCTGCCCCTCTGGCTGTACCTCTGGCTCATAGCTCAAGATCTTGGCGCACTCCTTGAGGGCTGTCAGCGCATCCTGGTGGACGAAAGACGTGTTTATATTAAAGTTTATATTAAAATTGTTAGTATGGCATATTCATGAACACTGGGTAAAGCGTGTGTGTTATAAGATACCATAACTTAAACAAAATTCTTTGAGAGGCTAAAAGATGCTAATGTCATTCAGATTCATCTAAGATCAGGCTATTACCAGGTGTCCTGTAACCCAGTGATTGTGGGTCAAGGTATTGAGAACACGTGTACGCTAATCTTGCTGTTCAGTACAATGAACAATAAATGTGCTAACGGTAAATCGCAGAACCTACTGTATGTCTTCTCAAGACAATTGTGTATTAAAAATGTTGTATAAATGCATAAGGCCTACTGATACCATTTAAAAGAATGGACAAACATATGCACATGCATTCACTTTGCATCGGGTCCGTAAACATAAAATAGAATACAGACCTAAGATAGCCTGTCCTGACGCCACTTGTACACTTGTACTGTATATATACCATTTCGCCTAATGACGCTCCTTCTCGCTAGTGTCTGTCACAACTACCATGATTATTATTGGACTTGCCAAGACTGGAGCTTGATAAACTCGATCAGCAATCGTTATGGCCGTCGTCCAACATGAGTAAGAGTTTTACACTTCCCAACACGGCCAGCCGTCAAGCTCGTGACTAAAATAGCCTTTTGCAACACTGTTTGGCTGTCGTCCAATATGGTAACACTTGTTTTTATTTAAAGTTATATCTACTGGCTCAAGGTAGATGAACACAATTATGTAGGTGTTATATTTAGACCTGTGACAGTCTATCAGCAGACGCAGTGAAACAGACTTGTACAAGTACTCTCAAGAACAACGTTACACAGGCCACCGAACTCCTTCTCCCGACGTGTGTGTGTGTGTGTCACACACACTAAATAGGGGCAAATTTACGCTTAAGCCTTAAAACACAAATGAGGGTTTTACCAAAAAGATGACTTTTACTTTTACTGCCATAACTTAACGGAAAATAGTTAATTTATGCTAACAGTTGATTTGTTTCATTTATCACGTCGCTTACTATCATGAACAAAGTATAACTTGTTAGGTTAGGTTAGGCTAGGTTAGGTTTGGTTAGACTGGGATAGGATAGGTTAGGTTAGTTTAGTTTACTTAGTTAGCTTAGGTTAATTAGATTAATGATGCTAATCATTTACAGTTGCTATTATTAAAACATGATCGTCTGTATGTAAAGACCAGTTTCAATTTTGAAAGAAAATTAAATATAAACATATACAGTACTCATAATTTTTGGTACTCTTCAGTTATCCGTATATTAGCGTTATACACACACACTCTCTCTCATTGATGATGACGATTGTTCTACAGTTATGAATATAGGCATTAATTATAATGTATATTAAATTGCATTTCCTCTGGGTGCCCGGTGGACTTATCACTGTTGCTGGGCGCCATGTGACCCACGACACTTAGAATAGGACGAAGAGTATTCATCATCGAATAAATCAATTGTTTTTAATATTTGGTAGCTCAGTGGCAGCTATCTGTCCCCTACGGGGTGACAGTTCGAGCCTCAGTCGGAATGTTAGTTTAGGTCTGAAGCCTCGTGCGGATGTGAGGTGCAGCCTAGATGAAAATGTTGATGTAGTTGACTTGGAAGGGTTAAAAAAATCCACAGGGGTTATTAATAATTCGTAGAGGTCATTTAATTCTGTACAGTAAGGGTTGTTTATCTTTTGGGATGCTAGGGGTAGAGGTTTTGGTGGGTGATTGAAGTGGGAATGGCATATGGCTGTTTGAGTTTCGGTGGCAGGGAGTATTTAACTTAGGAATGTTTGGCATCACTTGAAATACTAGGTGAGCGAGGCCCTATTTTCTCAATCTCCCTACCCCTCACCCACACACATTTCCGGCATCCCTGTTGGCTGGTTCAGGTAGTTTAAAATATTCACCAATTCTAACATCAGTAGAGCATTCCTTATCTTTCTGGAAGTGATTTACAGTCCAAATTATACCCGAATGTCAGACATTGAAAGTTACAGATAAAATCAATTTAATCTAACCGACACATTTGTTTAGATCTTCAGACCTCACAGTATATATATATATATATGTATATATATATATATATATATATATATATATATATATATATATATATATATATATATATATATATATATATATATATATATATATATATATATATATATACTAAATAACTATCAGTGGCCCAAGGTTAAAAATGCTTTGAAAACCTTTGATCTAGATGTATGATAGTTATTTAGTGGGTCCCTTATTTTTGACCTGACCTGACTAGTCACGTCACCCCCCGTCACCCCCTTCTCTTAAGCTCATCTACGTGTGTGTTGGTGTGGGGATTAGTGGATGACATCATTATGACCTGACCTCATGTTTTATAAGGTCACCCTGTATATTTAAGCCTCTACCTGTCCATGTAATCCAGTTGCCTCTGAAGATGTCTTGAATACAGACATAAGAAAATAAGAAGTCTGCAATAGGCCGGTTGGCCTGTGCATGGCAGCTCCTGTCGAGAGTTACTACCACTCTCTATCATCCATGAATCTATCTAGCCCAGTGTTTTTCAAACTTTTTTTACTGCGACCCACAGCCAGAACAACAATTTGAATTGCGACCCATTAAACCTAAGTGTAATGATATGAAATGAGTAAATCAAAGACAAACACTGTTCACAATTTTCCTTTATTTAGCATCGACAAAATTCATGTAAATTTCTCATGATCCATTTATATTTGAATTATATGTATCCAATTGTACGAGTTTTTCTGCGCAAAACGGATGACATGAGAGGTAAAGAAAGAATCAGGAAATGCTCTCCTTGCAGTCGCTTCCTAGACTGTGGAGTGTACATTACAATAACCAAGCCTAAATTATGGTGCATTTATTTTTATTTTCTTATTTATTTTCGCGACCCATTTTATTTTTTTCTTATTTATTTTCGCGACCCAATTTATCTATTTCGCGACCCACTGAAGGGTCGGGACCCATAGTTTGAAAACCCCTGACTAGCCTCCTTTTGAAACTTTCCAGAGTTCCCGTACTTACTACAAAGTTGCTAAGCTTGTTCCACTCGTCCACCACCCAATTTGTGAACCAGTTTCTTCCTATCTCCGTCCTAAACCTAAACTTATCCAACTTGAATCCGTTGCTCCGAGTCCTATCCTGCTCGGATATTATAAGAACTTTATCTATATCCCCTTTATTGATTCCTTTCACCCACTTAAATACTTCTATCATATCTCCCCGCACTCTTCGTCTTTCTAGGGAATGCAAGTTAAGTTTCTTTAGCCTATCCTGATATGGAAGGTTTCTAAGTCCCGGAATCATTTTTGTCATTCTTCGCTGCACCGACTCTAGTGAATTTATATCCATTCTATAATAGGGGCACCAGAACTGAACCGCATAATCGAGGTGCGGCCTGACTAGCGCAAGATATAGTTGCAATAAGACCTCTGCACTCTTGTTACTTACACTTCTAGATATAAAACCCAATACTCTGTTTGCCTTATTTCGAACATTAACGCACTGTTTTCTAGGCCGTAGGTCCGGGCTTACAAGTACCCCTAGGTCTCTTTCACAAGTCGACTTCTCTAGGTTGATGTTGTTAAGGCTGTATACATTATAAGTATTTGTTCTTCCAATATTAAGTACGCTGCACTTGCTGGTGTTGAATTTCATTTGCCATTTTTCAGACCACCTGCAGTTTATTTAGATCCTCCTGTAATGCATTTGCATCCTGCCCTGAATTAATTTGCCGCCCTATTTTGGTGTCATCCGCAAACTTGCTTATGTCACTGCTGATCCCAGTATCTAGATCGTTTATGTAGATTATGAACAAAAGTGGGCCTAGTACTGACCCCTGGGGAACCCCACTGGTTACACGGCCCCCACTCAGATTTAACACCATCTAGTACGCTGACCCTCTGCGTTCTATCGATGAGCCATGATTTTATCCAATTTAAAACTTTCCCCTCGATACCATGAACCGTAATTTTTCTCAGAAGCCTCTGATGCGGTACTCTGTCAAATGCTTTGCTAAAGTCAAAGTAAATAACATCGTAATTTTCGTCATTATCTACTACCTCGAAGACTTTCCTAAAAAACGTCAGTAGATTTGTTAGACAAGATTTTCCCTTTGCAAGCCCATGTTGCGAGTCTTAGATTAATTTGCTTTTCTCTAGATGCGATCGGATGCTATCTGCTATAATTGATTCAAGAAATTTCCCCACTACTGACGTCAAACTGATCGGCCGGTAATTTGACGCTGATGCTCTGTCTCCATTTTTTAATATGGGTACTACATTTGCCTGTTTCCACAAGTCTGGCACAACTCCAGTGTCTAATGATTTTGTAAATAAGTTTACAAGGGGTCCGCTAATCTGTTCCCTACACTCTTTCAAGACTCGAGGGAAAATTTCATCCGGCCCTGGGGATTTTGTTTTCTTTAGTTTATTTATCTTCTTAAGAACATCCTCTTTTCTGATAGTGATATTCTTTAATTTCTCTTCTTCCTTTCCCTTAAATATCAGTTCCACCCCTGGAATTTCATCTCAAATTTCTTCTGTGAAAAATGATAAGAAGTAGCTGTTCAATGCTTTGGTTATTTCTTCACTGCCATTTATCACTTCTCCCCTCCCTGACTTTAAAGGCCCAACTTTGTCCTTGACCTTTGTCCTATATACCTGAAAAAATCCCTTGGGATTCGCCTTGGATTCTCTTGCTATTTTGATTTCATAGTCTCTCTTTGCTTTCCTTACATTTTTTTTAACATTCCTAGATAGTTCATTATACCTATTTCTTAGCTGCTCCTCCCCTCCCTTTAATTTCTTATATATTCCTTTCTTTATTCCTATGTCATGTTTAAGTTTTCTGCTCATCCACCTTGGCTCATTCTTATTTGACCTAATTTTTCTGTATGGTATATTTTGTTCTTGTGCTTTATGTAGTATACTAGTGAATATATTATAGTCATGATCAAT